ATGTAACTGTGATTGCATTGCTATATGGCGTACAATTGGTGAGCTTTAGGTCTCAGTTTGATGTGTTTAATCAAATGATGCAAATGCATGCAGGTAGAAAAAGCATCACGAATCCTTATGCATTATAAATCCTTCCCCCTACAAACCCTGTCATAAAAAATGCTCCTGAAAACTTGCTAAAAAGTTCAATTGACAGACAGGGCTTCACTTTACAAACCCAGGAGCCCCCAGTTCATTTGACTGCAGGACACACTAACGAGGCTCTGATGTCACTTCTTGTCTCCCCAGAAACAAAATCTGATCCGGAGAGCGGAGCCTTCGATGAGCAACAGGACCCACTCCTGACAGGGTCAGAGGTCACCACAGAGGAAGAGGCCGTCCCCCAGACCCCAGAACCTCTTGGCAAACCAAGTGCGGAGAGAGAAGGAGAGGAGAGTGAAGAGAGAGCGAGAGGGGAGTGACAGAGAGACAGACAAGGAGGGGGAAAGGGGGAGGAATCAGAGAGACAGGAAGAACTGAGAAAGAGGATGCTGCGAGATTGGAGCAGAATGAACAGAGGTGGGAGGGAATGTGGGTGTAAGAGACCGAATTGCCCTGTGGATAGGAAGTGACTTCCCTTACAGTGAGCAGTTTGTGGAGGTGGCCTAGTCTGCTCCTGTCTGTCTGCTTGTCAGCCACTACACACGGATAGACGTTTCACTTTTGGTGACCTCTCCCAATGTGCCGAAAATAAGATGGTGCACAGGGGCAGGGAGGCATGTTCATCCAAACAGGTGTTCCCATTATAGAGAGGCCCATTCAAACCATAGCTTCTTTCTGTATTCAAACCATAGCTTCTTTCTGTAAAACATCAAACTGGTACAATGGGTCCTAACTATGAAGAAGGCTTTTTATATATAAGTAGATGGACAGATAAATCCCAGCTCTATGGAAATGAGAGGTATGTTTGCAACACATCACCAATAACAAAATGGTGCAGCTGCACGTAAGGGAAGGCTGACACACCATAGGTACAGGAATGGTAGGGACAGCGCCACTCAATTTGGAGGTGCTCATTTTCATATGGCAGAACCTCCTGCATCTATTCTGTATAATACAACATGCCCACAACTCCAGCAACTTTGTGCTGGCTCACGCGTGTGCAGAATCCCACACAGCCAGCTAACAGTGAAGCCTGTGGTCACGCAAACAGCTGACAGCACTGCGGATGGAGGTAACGTTGGCTGAGCTGCACCACGATGCTGGAGACTGTGCAGCGAGCACCTGAGCTTGTGTTTCTCTCTAGTTCAGCACTGAGCGCCAGTCAGTCAGGCACTCTCCTGCAGTGACACGCTACAGCACTGGGAAGACAACACACAGCAAGTCCTTCCTGCTCTGCTTCACACTCACCCCACAAACATATACAGATCGCATTCATACCATTCCCTTTTCTGTCATGTCCCTGCTGGCATTGATACCGTGTGTCTGGTCTCCGTGTGTCCAGATTCGGCCGGGTGCCTGGTTCCCTCAAGACGCTGCAGCTCCCTGTAGTTTAGCAAACACAGGGCCTGGAGGAGGGAGACTGCAGCTTAGTGCACACCAGTTCTGTCTTTCCCAATTGAGAAAAACTAAAATCAGTTTAAATAGATCTCGTTAAATCAATTTCTTTCAGAATTCCCATTAAAATGGGATCTTGTATGGCAGGACTTTTCAACTCCACACCCTTACAGTCCACTTTATTGCCTCCTGATAATCCTACGCTTAGTACCTATGGAATGAGTGGGAAGCAGCTGACTTGGTTATAGTTCAGACATTAGGTTGTTCCCCTCCTTTGCAAACATTGTTTTGCAAGGAAGAGAATGCTTTATGTATGTGGCCCACAGCCCTGTGTTCATGAGGCTCAGACCTGTGCGCCACATCGACATGCCTCCCCCTTGTGCATTTCCTGTGCAAACGGTTTTGGAGACGTCTCTTCACTGCAGCAGTTGCTGCCTGGAACAGAGAGCTGATTCGGGAAGAGGAAAGTTGCGCGTGGGCATCTGCTCAGAACAAATCTGTGAGGTTCCGAAGCGAGGCAGCTGGCGAGCTATCAGGGCCCAGCCGAAAATGGCACAAACTGCTCCTTTAAAGGTGAATGACTGTGGTTGCCCACAGGACAAGACCTTTTTTGAGCATTTCCATTTTTACTATCATTGTTGTTATTATTTGAATTGTTGTACTATTGTTTCTGTAACTACTTCTCTTTTTTAACCATTATTACTGTCATTATTATAGTCGTAAGTATGGCTGTCATGGCTGATGTAATCCTCCTTTAGGGCTG